TTCTTTCACTCTTTGGCTTGCTCTGGCTGTGTATTAAATTTGATCTGGGGTGTCTGCAAATGTTGGGGCTCACGGGGGTGTGCTGGGCCGGGAGAGGTTGAGCATTCCTCAAGAAGGAAGACAGCAGAGCACTAGATGGGAAGGGGCTGGACCCTGAGAGAGCCTGCCAGGTGTCCCTTTCTAGCAGGAGGGGCCCCCAGACATCTCACGTCATTCCTTAGGCATGAGTCATTTTCACATTTCAGGGAAAATGCATATCCTTCCCAGAGCTGAGGAAGCCCCATGAGCTATTCTGGTCCTGACACCAGCTCCCACCCTTTAAAGCTCCTGTCCCTGGGGGTTTTGCAGCAGGATGGTCTCTGAACTCTGCAGCCAAGTACTTCCCTTCTTAGAGAACCACCTCCCTGGCCTCTTCCCCAGCCCCAGGGATTCAGGTCACTGGTGTCCCCTGCCTGAGGATAAGCCACAGTGCTACTGACCTGGGCCCCTGACTCCAAATTGAGCAGTTTCCAGTGGTTGGTCAGTGCCTGCCTGAAAATCCCGGACTTCAGGTCCTGAGGGATCCAGCTTCCCTCATCCTAACTCCCTCCTTTGACTTTATTCCAGGCTGACAGAGCAGCCTGCGGTTCCACCCTCCTTAGCTGCCTATTGGCCTTGCTTTTGTTTATTTCCCATGTATTTGTTGAATATGTATGCATATTTTAGCAAAAATAAAAAGTAAGCAGAACCCAAATACCAACACGTCCTAGTCCATCAGGTGGCAGCGTATGTGCTCTCAGTCTGAGAAATATACACAAGTCATTAAATAGCAATTATTGTAATTAGCAGAATGTACACGTGATTAATCACCCTCTGCCCCCGCTCCTCCATTTACCTTGCCTGTGGCATTAATGGATACCGTAAGGGGCTGGGAGCCAGCTTGTGGTATAGAGGAAGGAGAAGGGGAGGGCTGGTTTCCCTGAGGTTTCTTTTCTCTCTGGGGTTGCATGGTTCTTTCTTTCTGTGTTACTCTGGACTCCCTCCAAGGCCACCTCTTCTCTCCTCCCTTTCTCTGTGACCCATCCCAATACACGGCTTTCCTCAAGAAAAGCACCGTATTAAATCAGCAGCTTGGAGGTGTGTGGCCTCAGCCAGGCTTCAGGCCAAGGCAGCTAGGGGTAGCAGCAGGAGACAAAAAGGATGAGATTCCTGGGTGCTTGGAAACTCTCATTCCCTGCACCATGGCTCGAGGACAGTCACAGGTCCCGGGTGACCTGCCAGACCAGCTGGAGCATCTGCAACCCAGAGCCCGGAGGAGGGGCTTCCATCACCACACGGACACTGCAGCAGCAGCTGTGTAAGGCTATGGATGGCTGAGGCTGCAGCCTATAATCACATATTTACAGTTGCTGCTTCATGGAAAATTAAAGGTGTGTGAGGCACAGCCTCTTCCTTCAGCCAACGGAGGTCATCTGCTTGGGCTCAGCTCAGGCAGCCAGTGTCATCTGCAGCTAGAACTGGCTGACCTGGCGGTTCTGACCCCATTGGCTCTTCAAATCCTCCTACCTGTCCAGGGGAGGGGCTTCTTCTGGTTTCCAAGCTGGTGTTGGCGAGGGGAAGAGCAGGTGCCTGTACTCACCTTGGCTCCTCCTCTGTCGCCTGGGTGGGATGGATTTGTTCTGCTTTCTGTCCACCTGTTAGGCAACATAGCTTTTGAAGTCCCATTATGAGCAAGGTGCGTTAGCCTGGCTCAGTTCCTCGTCTGTGAAATGGGCACTTGTACCCATCTCGTAGGGCCTATGGGATGATTGAATGCAATACTGCTTAGCCTTGTGTTTACATTTATTAGTTAATTATTAATTCTGGTGGTTTGATAAATATGGAGCACCCACAGTGTGTCAGGATGAATGACTCTAGGTTCTGGGGATAAAGCAGTGGCTAAGATACAGCTTGCATTTAGTAGTATGTGTGAGCATGTGTGTGGAGAAACAGACAATTAAGCAGGTAAACAAGTGAATAAACAAGGTAATTTCGTATAGTACTAGGTGCCATGAAGAAGGTAAAGTCATATGGGCTGGGAGGTGAGGGCTCTGAGAAGGTGACATTTGAGCCGAGACTTGAATGAGAATGAAGTCCTAGCCATGTGAAGATCTGGAGGAGAAGTTGCTAGGCAGAAGGAACAGCTCGTGCAAAGGCCTTGGGGCAGGAATGAATGAAGTCTGATTATGTTGTGATGGCAACTGGTTCCTTCCTCGGTGGAAAAGTTTGGATGAAGTTTGCATTAAATCCCAAGGTGACCTGGTGGTAAACATCAGAGGATCTTCCACCTGGGAGTGAAGGGCTGAGTTCTTGGGAGGCGTCCCAGATTAGCCTGATCTAACAGAACTAGATGCAGCTGCTGAGGTTGGTGACTGTGTCCGATACCAAAACGGATTTATGTATAGGACATTATTAAGAAATTGATTTAATTGGCACTTTGGGTCAGTTGAGTTGCCTCACACTTGTGTGTGCACATTGTTTATCTTTACAAGTTATTTTCCGTGCACATGTGCCTGTGCGGGTGATGAACAAGGAGCGGTGCTTGAGAGCCTGGGAAGGGCACATCTGCCTACAAGGTGAATCAGGTAAATCACAGGGGCACCCCCAGATGAAGACATCTGTTTTCAATGGATGTAGTAAAGCTTTTCCTAACTTCAGGAGACAGTGGGCAGACGAAGGGCTGGGAGGGTCCGCCCAGCACATTGATTCTGGAGATTATGCATGATATGTTCCTGCCACCATGAGAGATTCCCAGTGGCCACCAGCGGTCATGATGCCCAGGCATGTGTGGAGCTGTGCAGTTGTGAATCACTTCCATCTGCACAATATGCAGGCTCAGAACAGCCCTATGAGAAGGCAAGAGAGAAATCATCTCCATTTTACAGATGAGAAAAATGAGGCTCAGAAACCTTAGTGGACTGTCCAGGCTAGAGATGGGACCCTCTCAAAGTCAGGTGTTCCTCCCCCGTGCCTCCCTCTCTCCCTTCCTTCTGCTTACCCCAGATGCTTTGTTGAGCACCTTCTTATCATGCCGCATTGCATGGCGGTTATGCATGTGACCTTACGACCTGCCAGCTTGCCTGGGCTCCAATTTCAGCTCTATCCCATAGCCTGTTGCATGAGCATCTGTCTCACGAGGTTACCTTAGAAGTTAAGTAGGTGAATACATGGCAAGTACTTAGAACAGCACTTGGTCCATAGCAAGCACTCCACAAACGTGAGTGGTTGGGTGATGAAGTGCCCCTCCGCCTGCCTACTGCACCACGCTGTCCCGATGCTGTCTGTTCTGAAGGTCCTCACCACTCCCCCTAGCTGTGGTCCAGCCCTGGTCTCTGAAGTTCTTCTTTCTTGTCCTCTCCATTTACCTGCCTGTTCTCTGTGACGATCCTCAAGCCCTATGCTCTTCCCCATCTCCTCCCCCCCCCCCCCCCCCTCTCTCCATTTACCTGCCTGTTCTCTGTGACGATCCTCAAGCCCTATGCTCTTCCCCATCTCCCTCCTCCCTCCCTCCCTTCCTCCCTCCCTCCCTTCCTTCCTCCCCCTCCCTCTCCCTCCCTCCCTTCCCCTTCCTTCCTTCCTTCCTTCTTCCTTCTTCTTCCTTCCTCCCTCCCTCCCTGTTTCCTCCCCTCTTCTCTGCACACACAGGAGACAACCAGGCACACAGCTGCAGCTCTTTTTCAGCCACCTGCTTCCTCTATCTCAATCTGGTAATTCACAACTCTAAGGAAATTTGAAGTTTTGAAGATGTTATTTAAACTCACAACCCAGAAAATAATAATTTTTTAAAAAGTATTTGGGCAGCCTTCCTTGGCAACTACATCGAGGGGCTCTGCTCCCCCTGGAGAGGCCTCTCTGGGCTAGACATGCCGGGTTCACTGCCTGCAGCTGCACCTTGGCAAGGACCGAGGGAGGAAGTTGGGCCTTCTGTTTGTGGAATAGGAAAATAGCGGCAGAATTTGAGAGGATGGTGAGTGTCACCATCAGAACAGGATTAGAGTAGACCCACATAGGAGGCGGGATCTTCAGCTGGCCCTGCCATACCTACCCCTCACCACCCTGTCCTTCCCTGCAGTGCCCACACACTGTGCTTGCTGCCCTGGACCTGTCCCCTGGCAACCCTGGAAAAACCAGACCTGAGGCAGCTTCCACCCCTGCCCAGTGACAGCTAATCCCACAGTTTATCTTCTGCAAGCTCATGCTTCGTGTTCCTAGGTTATAACCCAGCACATGACCAGGAGATTTGGGGAAATGGTGCATTAACTTCAGGGTGAGTCTAATGGAGGCTGCGTAGGGCACTGTGGGAGTCCGTGCAGGGAGAAGCTTTGGTAGGTCTCTGGGGGAGGGGGTTGGGGTAAGGACCTCTGTCTCTGTCTGAGATCAGAACCTCCCCCTGGTTCCCAGCAGAGGGTAGACGGATGGGGGCGTACAGTGGGGTAGTGGTGGTGAGAGAAGGGCATGGAGAAGATGAAATCTGAGACCTTCCATTCCAGTTCTCCATCGCAAGAGCTAGGTCCGTTTATCTGGTGAGTCTGGCTTATGTAGTCAGTCTGGACATTTCCATTTGAGAACAAGCCAGTTGGCTCTATATATAACCCAAATGTCCAGAGAATTGTCAATCCTTCCCTTCAAGTCTAAAAATAGGAATGCAAGTCCCAGTTCTGATGCTTAAAGATGACTCACTGTAGCCACTGTAGCCTCAGTTTCCCTCAAAAGCCTAGGGGATGGGGATGACACCTCAGGGCTTCCATGGGCCTGGCACAAAACGTGGAATCACCTCACAGGGCCACAGACACTTAGAGAGGCTGGACAAGTGTGCGTTTCTTGATTCATTTTGCTTTGGGGAGGTTTTGGATTTTTTGTGATCCCATTTCTCTGGACCAAGAAGGGACAAGCCACGCCCTTGCTGCCCAAATCTCCACCTGGTGGCACCTGAGCATGTGCCCAGATGACACACTGGAGTTGTCCTGTTTTTGCCCAAGACCACTGCACACGTGCCTGAGGAACACGCAGCAGCCCTGGGTCCTGAGCTTGCACTCGGAGCTGCCCGGGCCCCACCTCCCCAGGAGAAAAGATTCCCTGAGCCGCACCTGCCGGCGCAGGCGTGCCGCCAGGACCCTGATGTTTCAGCTACTTCTCTGTTCTGTGATTCTGTCTGAAGTAGGAAATAGGGCAGGCTTGCTGGTAGACTCCAGAGGTCATTAAAAATAGGCAAAGGAAATAAACAGGCCTCCATCAATCACCTCCTTGGCGGGCTTGCTTGGAAGGGTTCTGGGGAGGGGCGTGCTGGGCCTGGGGAACAGAGCTGGGCCTCTCAGGGCTTTGCCGTCTGTCTTGCTCTCCGTGTGAGGAGTACCTACTATGCGCCAGGGACTGTGCTGGATGGCTTTGCGTAAGCTATTTAATTGTTGCTGTAGCCTGGCGAGGAGTGAATTACTGTCTCATTTCCACAGATGAGAACACTGAGGCTCAGAGAGGTTAAATGACTGACAGAAGAGGTTAAATCACACAGGTTTAGATCCAGTTCTGGTTTCAAAGCTCTGCCTGGACCTGGGCTCTCTTTCCCAAGGTCTGTGCCAGTCGAGAACCCTCCTCAGTCCTGTAAAGCGGATGAGTGTGCTGCCCTACCCTGGCTCCCATCTCCTATGCTCTGTGTGTCACCTGCTGTCCGGAGGCGCCCACCCTCACTGTAGCCCCTCCTGGACAACCTCTGCCCACCATCCATACTATCTGGTCTCAAGACCCATTTCCTCTGAGCTGCTCTCACGTTGGAAAATTATCCAAGAAACACTGTGATACCGTGAGAATACCTGGTCAGGAAATAGATTAGTTTACCAGGGGAGCACCTTGTTTTAATAGAGGCAATGTTTTAACAGAGGATTCCTGGAACCAGTCCTAAGAGGTGAATGTCTAATAGTTGAAAGTTGAAATTTGTTCTTTTGGGGTACATGGCATATGGTTTATTGGAAGGAATATCGGCTCTAGACTTACATATCAAATATCAACCCTCACTTACTCGTTGTGTGAACTTGGACAAATTATGCAAACTCTCTGAGCTCCCACTGTACCATTTGTAACACAGGGATAAGTGAAATTACACACACAAAGTGCACAGCACCACAGCACAGAGCCTGGCATTCAGCAGGACCATCAATAAATATTAATTTATTTCCTTTCCCCTTGACGGCAAGCAGGTTTTTCCTGCTTTCCTTCAAGTCACGTAATAGCTCCCAACTCCACTTATGTATCAGCCCAGCCCTGGCCATGTAGACAAGGTGGTGGTGTTCTGTATCTTTCATGAAGGGACACTCAGGCCATGAGCTCTGAGGATGGCAGGAAGTTTTCTCTAGGCCAGGAAGGAAGAGGGGGACTGAAATAGGACCTCCTTCAGACATTGCTACTCTGTGTGTGAGTGCAACCGGCTTTTCCCAAGGGGTCCTTCATCCCACTCGCGGCAAACATCAGCCTGGCCAGCCCCCTGAGGACAGCTGTGAGGAAGGGCACACAAGGGCCTGCAGAAACTCTGGGGGCAGCTTGGGGAGGCAGGACTCACCCACATTTCAGGGGGAGCGTTTTTGTTATTCATCATCAATTTTTTTCAGAAGGGCTTTTGAGGGGTGGACTAAAGGAGGCAGGCAGAGAGAAAAAGGAGGATGACGAGGGAGGAGAGAGAGTACAGAGAAATGGTGTGTAAAGGGGGCAGATAGTTAGCAGGATTAAGGTGGACGGTATGAGCTGGCCTTCCTTCAGAGGGAACACGCTGATCTCATGATCGTTAACCATCAGCTGGGCATCTTGTTAAAACTGCACATTTTGAAAAATTAATGAAAATCCTAGAACTTTGATTAAATAAGTCTAAGCTAGGGCCCTAGGAATATGCATCTTAACCAGCTCTTCTAGCAATTTGGATGTAGATATTTGGAGACCACACCTTGAGAAGTACAGAACCTTCAGCTGAGTCCTGGAATGGGGATTTTCAAAAGTTCCAGGCTCCTTTCCCGGGAAAAACAGGTTCTTCATCTCGTTAGAGGGGCTGCCACTGCCTTTGGACTACAGGAGCTATTTTCCAGGAATGTAATCAGGCTTGACCCCTGCCTCCTCGCTCTCTCCATGCTGTGTCTCCTAGTAAATACCTGCCTGCATCTCTCAGCATTGTTTTTGGCCTTGAGGGCCCGCCCTGTATTTCACCCTCTTCTCAAGGCCTGGCTGCATTGATCAGCCCACTGGATTTACTGCCTGAAACAAAGCTTAGCGTGATACTTCATCGATCTCTCCTCATTTCATGTCACTCAGAATGGCTCCCACTGGAAGGTACCTGAGAGACAATCTGGTTCAATTGTGCTTAACCAGGGTATGCATCAACAACTGCTTGTGAAGCTTTTTAAAAACAGGCACGGCCAAACTCCAGGAGGCTCCTGATTTGGTGAACATTCTCTCTATAGTGCCATGGCAGATATATTAGTTACCCCCTAGTATTCATCCTTGCCTCCTCCTTCCTCCGCTGGGAATGTGGATGTGATGGCTACAGCTTTAGTTGCCATCTTGGACCATGAGTAGGAGATGATCAGTGAGTGAGCTGGAAGCATCTGGTGTCCACAGACTGGGTGGAGTAGACTGTTCACCTCCGGCGTTTTACGTAAGAGAGAAGAAATTATGTTGTTTAATTAACAAAAAAAAGGAAGCCCAGACCTGTTCCTCGAGATTGAGGTCCTGGATGCTGAATTCCTGTTCCTCTCAATTTTCCACTAGCTTTGTAAGTTATTTGCAGGTAACTGCTGTACGTATACTTCCCCTGCAGATCTTACAAAATGAAACACACTGCCAGGCATCTACAGTTAAATAGCAAGCACTCAGTTGACTGAGCAAGTGGTTGATTAGGTTGCCTGTCCCCCTCTTTCTACTCAAAGAAAATGGGGTTCATTGGTAGCATCAGGAGTTCTAGGCTTTCTTCCTGATTCTGATTCTGATTTCATTCTGTGCCTTGGCATTCACTGTGGTCCACTGTAGAATGACAGTCTTTAACCAGATGACCTCCACACTCCATCCATTTCTAACATTCTGACCTAGCGGTAATTCTGAGAGGTGTTTGTGTGGTGTGAGCTGGAACTCGGAATATGTGAACCTGATTGGCTAAGCTTACCTTGTGGTTGGTTGACAGATGACTAGGAAATGGATGCAGCTGGGGGTTGACGCAACAGTATACTTAGAAGGAAGATGGTGAACTTGGAAGGTTGCCTTGCCAAAAGCAAAATGAAAATTCAGTTACCTTATTATAGGTACTCATGAAGGAAGATGGTGTCAGAGGAAAAATCACCATGACTAGACCTGGTGAGGTGAAAGCCCTGGGAGGTGAGGTTGTACCTGAAAACTGGACCTCAGTGGAAAACCCTCAGATGGTTCTTCACCTTACTTCATCCTTCACCTATGGCCTGTTCTCCTGAATATCCAGTTTAAAAGATGAGATCATGTAATTACTCTGTAGGAGAATGTATCTTCCAGATGCCCTAGATGGGGAGGGCAGTTCTTTGCAGAGGAAAATTTTGATAGAACTTCAGCCAAAAGAGTAGTTTCATTAGATCTGTCAAAGCGGCAAGGCTGCTGGCTTCTTTTCTCCCCATGCAGAGAGTAGAGAGGATGCTGGCTGTAATATCTCTTGCCCCCCAAATGATCCTTGAGTTTTGAAGGTTCACAGAAACTTCCCGGATGTCCCAGTTCTTTCTGCTTAGTACCTGGGCAGCAGAACCTCCCTGGGGATACTCAGCTCCCTTTATTAGAGAGCTTCTGCCGGTGAGGCTTCATGCCCAGGTTTAACATAAGTTCCTAGGATGCTGTAATAGTAGTAAAGTCACTAGGATTCTAGCACTTTTGCCCCTTCTTTTATTTTAATTTGTCCAAAGGTGTGACTTCGTTCTGACCCCAGAATGGGTGTTAGAATGAGCCGAAGGTGGAGATGGATGGATTAGTCAACTTCAGCTCCAAATGCAGCCCCCATTGTCTGCTCTTGTTCATTCTCCCTAGGAAAGGCATTAGGAACCCCAAATGTGAACATTAGTGAATTATCAGTCTTCAGACCAACTGGAGCAGCTTCAGTATGGAAAACATAGGTGGGCATGGGCTTGATAGATGAGTTTTATGGAAGCTGGGAACTGAATCAATAAATGCCACTTGGTCTGTTCTTGGGCCATTTATTTGCCATCTTGGTACAATTAGACAAGGGTCTAGATGGGGGCTTTTACTGTGTCAGCTCCAATTAGCAAGTCATTTTTAGTTGCTGCTAATGCATCTTCTTTATTGTGCCATTGATCAACTGCAACATTCACTTTGACAGTGTGGGTAGACAAGGCCACTCAAGGCAGCCTCCACAGAATGACTAAGGAGCAATGCGGTGTCTCATCTGGGACCAAGTGGAATTTGTCTGCGTATGAATCAGGTGAAATTAAGTACTGCTTGTTGTCACCCTTGTTCTATTTTTACCTGTCAGATTGATTTGTTCAGGATCAATGACCATATGGGCACTAAGAAAATTTGCTGCGAATGCCTCCTGGTTTTGTGATAGATAACTAAAGATAGTGCCCTGACTAGCAATGTTGGTGTGCAATGGCTTCCTGGTCCCACTGGCCACCTACTGAGTCTACAAACACCACAGTCCCTGATCGGTGCTGCTGGTCTAATGACTGCGTTTCAGTCTCCACCCATTTTCTCTACCAGCATCATGTTCTTTTCCTGTATATAACTTTGGGATGGTTTTGATTAGTGGAATAACAGCATCAACAGTGTCTACTGTTACTGTAATTTTTCAAACACATAGAACTCAGTAATACATTAGCCAGAATTAGGTTCTCTGTCTTGACATTATTATAGCTGTTTGCCGTACTCAAGCCCAAGTGTGGAAACTTGCTCATGAGGAAGAGTCCCTTCAGCTGCAGTGTCCGCGCACCGCCGGCCAGTGCAGTGAGGTCCGGTGCCTGTCCCCATCAATGAACATCATTCCTTTGTGCCTCTTGTCAAGCAAATGCATCCTATTCTGCACATGCCACATGCTCTGTCCTGATTTGTCACTTTAGGCTCTTGCAGTCTACCCCCCCAAAATAAAAATAATTCTTAATGTTAGCATTTTGGCAAAAGGAAACTGTTTTTGTTGCTGTAGATGTTGTGTGGTTGTGTGATTATGGGGACACGGTGAAGAGTCCAGTGTGCACTTTAGGAAGTTTACATTAGAGGAGAATAAAATAGGAAAAGGGGAATGACCTAAGACAAAAAACGAGCGGCAGTTGGGCGGCCGCGACTTCATTCTCATGGTCATTGTAGTGAATAAACTCCCCTAGGAGAGGGCCACACTGCAGAATGGCAGCCACTTCTTGTGAAGGCCACGACAGCTGGATTTTGCTCCAGGAGGATTAGAGGTCTGTTGCTGGGGCAGTTGAGCTTCAGATGGAATAACTTTAGTTGGTTTACATTTAGGGCCCGTGCTCTTTGAAAATACATATCTTTAAACACTGGAAACCCACTCAGTGTGGTGAAGAAGGGCCACAGGAACTAAGAAAGACAAGCTGAACAGCCATTGGGGTCTCCCCACTCACATGGGGTGCACATATGTTGAGAGAAAGGTAGATGGTACCACACATCCTGTTTGAATTGCATCCTCCCTCCCTCTCACCTTCCCTCCCTCTCACCTTCCCTCCCTCTCACCTTCCCTCCCTCTCTTGCTGGGCAGTTGAGCTCAGATGGAATAACTGGTTAGTTTACATTTTCTAGGGCTCCGTATTTTGAAAATACATATCTTTAAACACTGTTCCTCCACTCAGTGTGAAGAAGGGCCACAGGAACTGCTGTTACGTTTACATATAGTCTTCTGATTGGGGAGAGAGAAAGTGATGGAGAAAGGTAGATGGTACTACATCCTGTTTGAATTGTATCTCTCCTTTCTCACCTTTTCCTTTCCTTTCACTTTTCTTTCCTTTCCCCCTTCCCTCCCTCTCACCTTCCCTCCCTCTCACCTTCCCTCCCTCTCCTATCTCATAGAGGAATTTGCCTACCTTGGCCAATGCCATGGGGCTTGACCTGAGCACAAGATGCTGGGGAGGACCTGCCATCTTGGAGGAAATGTATCGGTGTGGGAGGGCTGGGTGCATGAGCTTGGAGGATCACCTTATATTGCTAAGCCTCGGTTTCCCATCTCAGACATAAACAAGTTAACATAAAAAACAACAAGGTCATTTGAAAAAGAATAATAACTAAGATCTATTGAGTTCCTCCATGTGCTAAGCACTACTTTAAGCATTTAAGTGTTTTGACTCCTTCAATACTCATGATAGCCTACAAGGTGGATGCACTGATTAGCCCCATTTTACAGGTGGGAAAGCGGGGGACCTGATTTGAATCCAGGCAGCCTGGCTTCGGTCCAGAGGCCAAGTGCTTAGCCAGGATGCACTTTTTCCAGTGTTCTAAATGATGTGGGACTAGGAGAGAAAAACAGTTTTACCCTGCAACCTTTATAAAACCCGCTTGGCCAGATGGAGATACAAAAAGCAATTTCTAAAAACAACAACGATAAATCAGTGATGAAGGGAAGGATTATATAATAAATGGTGCTGGGACAATTGGTTAGCTGCTTGGAAGAAATATCAGAGCAATCTGGATCCTCATCTCGTACAGTTTGCCACAATATATTCCAGGTTGATTAAATATATTAATGGAAAATAAAGAAGAAAATAGAAGCGAGTATCAAATCTCTGACTGGGGGAGGACTTTAATAGTTCAAAACAGTGAAATAAATTACAAAAATTGGGGATCGTTCCAACTTTAAAAAACGAGAAGTCTCTACATCAGGAATCAAAGAGCAAACAATAAATTTGGGAAAGTACCACGAAGGTAATATTTTTCCTTAATGTCTATATTTAAACGTGTATCTAAAGAAATGCGAAGACTGATAGATGTGCAAAGGAGCCGTATGATACCCTGATAACATTTGGAAGGGTTCAACCTCAGCAATAGTTTTAAAAAATTCTAATTTAAAAAGAAATGCCATGTTAATATGATGTTTGTGCACATATATTATATGTACATGTATGAATGTACATCTAATATGGATTATATATGTCCATACATATGTATCCTAACTCGATAGCAGCTGAAAGGAGTTAGAAATAATGACACCCTTGTAGCCATATGTGAATCTAGCATCTAGATTTTGGTTTCTAATATTGTGCCTTACTGAAAGGAATCAAAGGCAAAGTTAGCACAAGAGAACTTCTTGCTGCATCTGGTGCCAGAAAGTTATACTCTCAGAAGGAGGAGGTCGTGTCAAAGGACACAGAAGTCCCATCCAAGAGCTTCCTACTGCCTAAATCCCAGATAATTAGAGCATCAAAATAGAGGATGACATTAACAGCTTAAATAAGAATGCATGAGTCTGTGCCAGTATACAAAAGTTAATGAATAAATACATGGGGCAGAATGAGGAAATTTTCCTTAGGTCATAATGCCAACTAACAAATGTGGACACTCTACCCAATGTGACATCCCAAGACGGACCCAATGTCCCTTCTGTGGTGTTCCTGCCCAAAATGCGTGATTCTGAGCTAATCAGGAGGAAATATTCGATAAACCCAAATCGAGGGACATGCTACAAATATCCTGGCTTGTTCTTTTTAAAAATGTCATGGTCATGAAAGACAAAGAAGGATGGAGAGAACTGTTTTAGATTAAAGGAACTAGAGAAATACGACAACTAAGTGTAATGCATGACCTAGGTTGAATCCTGGACTCCTTTTTTTATTTTTATTTTTTTGGTATAAAGGGCATGGGGTGAAATTCAGGGCTACAGATTAGTTCCAGTACTGTGTCCATGTTAAATGTCTTATTTTGCTCATCATAGTATAGGAACATGTCTTTGTTTCTATAAGATACATACTGAAGTATTCAGGCATAAAGGACATCCTGTTTGGAACTTAGTCTCAGATGATTCAGAAAAAATATCTGTGTGTTTATGTATGTGTATGTATGTTACATATGTATATTTCTGCCTACCTACCTATCTATTGAGGAATAATAAAGCAAATATGACAAAAATGTTACCAACTGGACCATCTGGCGGAAGGGTCTATGTGAGTGTCTTTCTCTGTTCTTGCAACTTTTCTCTAAGTTTGAAATTATTTCAAAATAAAAAGATAAAAAGAAAAAGGCAAGTGCCCTATTTTGCTTGTTGATGAATAAGGACAAGCCATCGAAGGAGAGGATGTGAGGGTATAGTAGGAACTCCAAGCCACAGGAAAGACTTGGCCAGACTTTTCTGGAATGCAACTTGGCAGTTTGTATTAAGAATCTTAAAAATATTCATAACTTTTAGTCCCATTTCTGCTCAAATAAAATAAACAAAAATGCAAAGACTTATGCACAAGTATCTTATTACAGGGGGACTTCCAACAATAAAATATTGGAGACAATTTAAATATTTAACAATGGGGGCCTGGTGTAGCCCTACCGTGGAATAGGATGTGCCCATTAAATGATGTCTCTGAAGAGTTTTTAACAGCATGACAAGGTGCTTATCTTATAATGTCCTGTGACATACCAGAATAAAATGTACATGCCATAGAACCTCAATTACATCCAAAATATGCATTATAAATCTGGAAGAAAGTAAACCAAAATGCCAAAATATTGAGTATACTTGGTAGCATTTCTCCCTACTTTTTCATATTTTTTTTAGTAATATCACATTTTTTATCATAAGGAAATATCCTAAAGCCAGAAAACAACAAATAAAGTAGCAATGAAGTTCTGAGTCTTTCTGTGACTGGGTGACGATAGTGTCTGAACGTTTCTCCCTCCGGCAGCGAGGAGCAGCCCCTTGGACGTGCTCCAGTCCCAGTTCTTGAGAAAGTGGGGAAGACCCCGTGGGGGAAGAGGAGAGGTTGCTGATGTCATGGTGACAATGTGGAGTGTGACACACTTAAAGGTCATGATGGGCTGTGTGCTGGGCATCCAGAATCTCATTTAATCCCCTAGTGGATAAGGAACACTAAGTATCGGAGAGACGGAATGATTTACCCAAGGCCAGTGTGTAGGAGGAGGTGAGGCTGGAATTCCAAGTGAGATCGGGAGACTCCAAAACCTGTGCTTTTAATTCCAGCCCTGCCTGGCCTCCCAGGTCATGCCCATGGTGGGTGAACTGGGGGTGCTGGCCCCCACATTGCCATCCTGACTAGTCAGCCTGTTTGCTTCCTCCTCTCTGGTGTGATTTCCTCAAGCTTGTTATTAAATAGCAAACATCCTTCCTTCTTTTTCTCCTGGAATTCTCATCCCACAGTGGCCTAAGGGGAAGGCAAACTCCATGCTTGTGCCTAGGAAGCATGACCGCACCAGCCAGCCTCCTTCCAATGGCGATGCACCAAGCCTTCCAGCAGCAGTGGATGCAGCCTTGTTAAGAGTGATTCTGACCCCTCGTTCTCCGTCACCTCACAAGGCATTAACTACAGGGGCAGCCGCAGGGAGAGATGTAGGTTGGCATTCAGAAGCCTTTCTGACAGCAAGAGTGAATCAACACAAAATGAATTACACAAAGACACCATTCACGGTCTCCCCAGAGAGTCTGGAGAAGAAATGCCTGCCATTTGTGTAGCTCTTTTTGATGTTCAAAGCTCTGTGGCACACGGCCCTCATTAGGTTCTCACAAGAACTCCCTAAGAAAGACAAGGCAGGAATTACTTCCCTTAGGAAAGGAAACTAAGGCTCAGGGAAACCAAGTTATTTGCCTCCAGTCATTGGTGACTAGATCAGTCTTCTAACTTCCTCTTTATCCCTTCTTACTCCTTCTGCAAATGGTACCAGTAGGATGCTGGCAGAGGGGAAGATCCCTTATTGTCTCACCCTGGGGCAAGGAGATGGGCTAAATCAATCCTAATGCTGCTTCCTGCCTCGGAAGATGAATTTGCCTCCAAGAGGTGGGCCCTCCATGCTTATAAATCCTCCTTCAGGTTACCCCACTTAGTGAAAAAGATTTACACAAGGCAGAAAGTGGGTGGAAGCCATTTGACCACACTTATTTATTTATTTATTTATTTTTGAGAGGGAGTCTCGCGCTGTCGCCCAGACTGGAGTGCAGTGGCCGGATCTCAGCTCACTGCAAGCTCCGCCTCCCGGGTTTGCGCCATTCTCCTGCCTCAGCCTCCCAATTAGCTGGGACTACAGGCGCCGCCACCTCGCCCGGCTAGTTTTTTGTATTTTTTAGTAGAGACGGGGTTTCACTGTGTTAGCCAGGATGGTCTCGATCTCCTGACCTGGTGATCCGCCCGTCTCGGCCTCCCAAAGTGCTGGGATTACAGGCTTGAGCCACCGCGCCCGGCTTGACCACACTTATGATGGCTTATTCTAGAGGAGGCCCCCTGAAGTGAAGATGCAACAGCATTACTGCAGTTCAGCAGACATTTACTAGCACATGCCAGTCACTCTACTGGAACTGAGGAGAGAGAAAGCCAGGGAAAAGGTTACCATGGGTTGAGTCAAAAGAACTCATTCTAGGCTCAAAAGGACAGGAGTGCTGGTTCGTTAGGATGCTCAACTTTCGTCTAGCAGACTGGGCAGATGGCCTAGAGAGGAGTTGTGCTGTAGTGAGGCAAAGTGGGCTTGGATGTCTGGCAAATCATGGTTCAGATACTGACTCCAACCAGGCACGGTGGCTCACGCCTATAGTCCCACTGGCTCAGGATGTCGAGACAGTAGGATCTCTTGAGGCCAGGACTTTGAGACCGGCTTGAACTACATGGCGAGGCCCCGTTTCTACAAAATAATATGTATTTTTTCAGTGTTGACTTGACTTCTTAGTTGTGTGACTTCCAGCAAATTCTTTAACTTCATTGAAACTCAGTTTCTTCAGCTATAAAATTAAGAGAATAAATAAACTGTCCCATGGTATGATTGCAAGAATTAAATGAGATGACAGCAACTAAAGGCCTGCCACCATCAACTCTCAACAATTTATTTCCCTCCTAAATTAGAAACGTCATAGTTTGGGGTTGCCATTGTGTGTTCAAGAAAGATAAGACCATAACGCCTGTCTTAAGTGTCCAAGCTTCATTATCAGAGCCTCTCACACATTCTCTTTAAGCTTCTCCCCCATAGACCTATCCAGTGGCCCCAGGCTGAGGCACCCATTCCAGGGACTCCCACACCTGCTTCCAAGCCAGCAGTGGCCTCTCATGAGCCTCAACCCTGTGCTGAAGATGCTCTGGGCTTGGTGGTCCTAGTGTCTCAGCCACACATATGCCATTTTACCTTGTCCCAGCTGGCCAAAGTGTGACTGTGATCCCCTGTCTTCCACTCACTCACCCGGCAGCCTCATCTTGGCTGCTGGAGATTTTAGGCTGCGTTCCACAAGTGGTGCCAGTGATTTACGATCCACATAACCCAGTGGTCTGTGCCCCCATGCCTGCAGGCTCCCACCTTCGAAGTCGTTGGAATTTAAAACACCATGAAAACAAACATCTGTGATTTACAAT